AACTAACCATTACACAGTTTATACCTCACACCCTAACCTTAACCATTAACATAATTTATAAATAAATAATAGCCAGGGTAGGCATCTTGCTAAGCTAAAGGAACACATATCATGCCTAAGTGTAAATATAGAACACAGCCATTTGCATATCCACCCAGTTCTGAGAAAAAATAGAAATGAAGTCAATGCATATTAGCTGTATAATGGATATGGCATTAAATAAGTCTTTCACTCACATGTTCCATGACCTCTTCTGATCCTGTTGCTGATGTGAAGATAATAATTCTGCTCTCTCACATTAATGTAAAGTCCATTAAATATTTCAAGACGGTTATATAAACCCTATTACTGTTACTATTACAAAAATGAAAGCTTAAATCAGAATAACACAAAACATGGAAATACTTATTATTAATAGTGTCAAATCAAAGATTCATGGACTCTGATATAGCCTAGAAACAGTTATAGCAATTTTATATTTCTAAAATAATGTCTTGCTAATAATGAGAAGGAAAAAGACTGGCCAATTAAAATTTGACACATGGCCATTAAAAACAATAACATTGTCCATTTTTCTTCTATGTGTGATTCAGATTTTTTCCTTTGGCATAAATTTGGCACATCCTTGAGCAGAGAGTCCCATATTCTAGAGTAGGAATATAAGATGCTGTCATGGTAGTCTACAGCCTATCTACCTCAGCACCACCTAAAATCCTTGGCAGATGCCTTCAAAAGATTCAGAATGGAGTTTTACTGTTCTACTTGAGATGGGGAAGATAGGAAATTAAGCTGGAATCTTCAGCAGGCCCAGCCAAGACTCTACCATTGAACTCTGTCCTTTATTTGATCTTGGATTAGCAAGCATTTTCTGGAGAGCAACCATGAAATATCTGGGGAGTAATATCTGCAAAGGAATGAGAAGAAATTTGACACTTGACCACTGTTTGGAAGTCTCTTGACTTTAACATTGTTGACCAGTCACTTTTAACATAGTACAGATTGAGCATTAAATTACACTGCATGCTTGTTCTGGAACTGTCTGGTTGCCAGGAAAAAACTTAGCATTTCTGGTAATTCTGGAACATGAATAGCCTTGCAGTGTCTCTCCTTCATTAGAGAGGATACAGACACATCCAAGGCAGGGAGTAATAAACTTCTAATTAGCAGGAAAAAAGTTGTGTGATCAAAGTCTCAACTCTTCGTAATGCATGTGTGTGTGTGTGTGTGTGTGTGTGTGAGAGAGAGAGAGAGAGAGAGAGAGATGCTTTGAATGTAGGATTTTTTTACCCATAATCTTGATTTTTCTGACTTCTGCTGATGTGTTGTCTTGACAAATTATTACCTTAAGGTTATAGTTTCTTTTCCAAAGTAAACCTGGGATTTGTACAGTAACTTTCAATCTGTGACTAAAATCTCCACAAGTCCAGATTCCAGGTAATTGATAAAGTTCAAAACCATTTTTGATAGAGTGGTCTGAACTATTCTGCAAGAAGCGCCCCTCCAAATCTGTTGGCTGAAGCACTGAGGCACCATATCGTCTCAAAGACTTGGCTCCTTCATAGGATCATTCACTCAGATGTGGGCCAGGAAAACAAAGCTCAGGTATGTATCAGGGATGTGAAACAAGCCTATATCCCGAATTTCAAAGTATGCTTTCAAAAAACAAAACAAAACAAAAACCCAGAGGAAACAATATTGTTACATGTCTTGAGTTAATGGTTTATTTTCACATTAAAAAAGTAATCTTATTGATGAATTAATATTAACTTTTAAATATAAAAGTGCTTTCTCTTTAAAAAAACACACAAATCCTTAAGGCCCATATTGTTACATTACAGTAGGATTTTTTTTCACCATTCCAGCAACTGTGCTACATGAATTTTGAATGGTGGAAAGACCAAAAGTTACAAGCATCAAAACTATTTGTCAATAATTTCATCACTGCAATGTGCATGAAAACTTTTAGCCATGGAACCGAATTTAAACGTATCTCTCACATTTTTCTTATAACAGTTCAACAATGAAGCTAGTTTGATACAGAAAGCAGAAAAATACTTAAATGATGTGAACATTATATAATTTTCATCCAGTTTGGGGAGAACACCAAGCTCCAATATCTGTGTATAAACTATTTGCTCTGTCAGATATATGGTTGGCTCATGCAGAATTTCAAGAACCTAGAACATTTCCACACCAATGTAGTTCAAAGGAAATACAGTACCAGTACAAGTAATATGTGAAATAAGCCATTAAGATAAAACATCTGGCTTCATTCAGATCAGTAAAGAAGCATTTGCTGATAGTGCTGATAGCATTTGCAGATATTATTGCAGTCTTGGTTATATTGCTTGGGAGAATTGTTGTAGAAATATCAGCTATGATCACACAATACACTTAACCTGGTCATTAAATAAACCTACGTCCTGGTTTATAGAGCACACTGAGCCATAAACTAATCAATATAACTGAATTCACAAAACTTTCTAAATGATAAAAAATATACCGTGATTAAACCAATTTGCTTGTTTGAATACAGTCCTAGAGTACACATTTTTGAGTTTGTGTTATGTCAGTGAATTAGTATGTTCTTTCATAATTGACAATGCAGTCTGTGGATGAATATTGACATTGCTACTCTATTTTAGGTATACATAATTATTTATAAATATATATATATTTCTGCTTTCTGTATATATATCTATGGAAAATAACGCAAAAAACGGTCCACATCATATAAGAAATATTGCTGTTACTTTCTGGAGCACCTTTGCAGATTGGGAGGAAAATGATTTCAATGTACATACACACATATATAGTTTACAGCATAAATTACTGTACAACATATTTTAGTTTATTACGTTGTTCAATGTAAACAATAAAAACATGCCAATGTAATGCCATACAGAAGGATTGTACTTAAGCTACTTGGATGTGAACAGAGTGGAGCAAAAGCCTTAGAAGAAAACTGACATTCTATTGCTTTTTCTGTTTTTTATAACCATGCTGGCACCAAAAGAACCATAACTGGTTTCTAATTAAGAGAAAGAGTGGTGCTAAAAATAGACTAAGATCCATAGGAATCTTATCAAAGTTATTGAGATGATGAATAGTTTGCAGCAGACTACATATATACTAGTCTTGGCTCATAGGAGGGCCTTCACACTGATAAGTCTGGGTGCTCTACCTCAGTGGTAGCTTCAACAATATTAATTCAATAGCATTTGTGTATATACTCAGGCTCTGCAACTGAAACAGTAGTGCACGTATTTCTGAACTGCTCTGTCTACAATCCTAGAGGTGGTGCTTACCTCCTCTCTCATTACAAACTATCCATTCTCATATGGCAATTATGCATTACCTACTAAACAACTGAATTGGGAATTTCCGGAATTGTAGCTACGTTTTGTACTATCATAATGACAATTAGACATTTCTGGACTTGATTGTTCTTCCAGATGTGCTTAGTTGAGGCACAAACTGGCTTTTAATGAACATGTTTTTTTCTTTTTAACATTTTGTGTGTTTGGTCTATAACCATACTTTTAAATAAACTAAACCAGTTGAATTTGATTCATCTGAGCAGGCCATTCTAGGATTCTTTACTGATAATACCTTAATCTCCTTGAGGTGATGGGGGCTGAGGCCAGAAAGTATTGCTTCTTTATCATGGCACATGGAACAGTGCATCAAAAATTAGCTCAATCTCTTCGGTGACAATCTTCTGGAATTTTTAAAGATCAAACTCTTTAGAAAGGCCTTCAGAAAATTATTGTTCACCAATTTTACTTAGACATTACTTATATGAGTTATTAAATTGTTGGTTTCTTGCACATACTAAGCATATGCTTAGACTGAATTTGGCATTTTTATTCACCTATCAAGTTCTTCTCAAGGACCTGGGATAGGCAGATGTTATTTGATTATTATATGCACAGCAATGTGATACCACAACCGCTAATTTTTAGCTGGTGTTAGTCTTTATACACATTGAGTTTATCCCAAGAATATAGAACGGTATAATTTATCGGCATAGTATCAGTGTGGATCCAAGCAGTGTGGCCTTGTGCAATGATACAGGGAAATTTTGTCAGTGCAGACTTTCTACGTGATATTTTGGTATCACATCCATTGTGCTGATTACCACTTGGACTATCAGAGCCAATTTATGCCATAATATTTCAAGGAAAAGTGTGGATAATTGATGTAGTCATACCAGGAGATAGTAAATTAGAACACAAAGAACTGAAGATCACAAAATAGCAAGATTTTCATATCTTGCTATTTTGTGATCTTCTTCAGTTCTTTCTGTGTTCTAATCTACTGTCCCCTGGTATGGCTACATCAATTATCCACACTTTTCCTTTACCATCCCAGGTAAATGTGCTGGCAATGTTTAATTGGAAGCTGGAAGATTATTGGCTTGGGATGCTATAATAATATATTCCTACATTGGATAGAAGATTGTACTAGATGACTTCTAAGGTCCTTTTCAATCCTTGTTACTGATGATTCTATTGAACAGGGGTGTCAAACTCAATCTCATTGAGGGCCGCATCAGCATTGCGGTTGCCCTTGGGGGGCCAGGTGGGTGTGGCCAGGGTGGGTGCGACCTACTGGATGGGTGTGGTTGGAATGGATGTGGCCTACTAGGTGGGCATGGCCAGCTCTACATCATTCGTGTCAAGGGTGCCTGTGGGGGCCTGGGTAGGAGTGGGACAGATCTGAGCGTCTCTGGCAGAAGGGGGTGGGACCGGGGCAAGTGCCAAGGCATGGTCCATTTCTTCATTCCTCACAAAGGGTGACACCTCCCCAGCATACACCCAGGGGGCGGCGCCAACACAGCAGGGGCTGGTTCCTCGCTGTTTCTGGACAGCCTTGTGGAGCTAAGACTGAATTCGTTTCAGCATAGATGGCCACCACAAAATTGTACATTGGCTCCCGGCCGGCCTGGGCCAGGGCCAAGGCAGCAGGGGCCGTTCCCTCACTGTTTCCAGGATGGCTTCGCGGGCCGCATGAAACTATTTTGTGGGCCGCATCTGGCCCCCGGGCCTTGTGTTTGACATGTCTGCTATTAAGGAAGCAGTTCTATAAATTATTTTTTATTTGCAGATCTACATCTTCTCCTATATTTGTTCTTAAATCAAGAATGGGTATATAATGTGCAATAATTTTCTATCATTTTAAAGCCTTATTTTATTTGCCTAATTATAGTCTTGCGTTTATCCTTTTTTGACATAACTTATTTATAATTTATATGATACTTAACTACTTATATAAATTAATGTCAATTCTTTCTATACTTTTCAATAATCAGCACATAATTTACTCAATTATTCCAGAACTTGGTATTTTAGGAACCTAGCATAAGAATCTGCTATAAGCCTCTTTTAACAGAGGATCCTGAAATATGTACTCTTGATCACCTTAATCTCCAAAGATGGATTTATAATATTAAGGTTGAAAGAACCATAAAAAAGCAATAGAAGTAACAAAACAGATCATAATGCTGCCTGATCATATGTTATGGAAAATAACCAATTCTAAATGACTAAACAATCAGGAAAGACTACTAGTGAATTCTGAAAAGCCAATTTTTCATTGATTATAGAAGCCCAATGGGGTCAAAGCTATTCAAACTTTAGTAGGAATGCCATTGTACTGGACTAGCACAGCTATAAATAAGTTGTACCTATGGCAAGGTGACAAAATTTCACAGCTACAACATAGTGTGTGCTAACTTTGTCAAATTTTATTGGTTACTTACTAGAAAACAAAAGGAGAAGGACAGTCCCAGAAATATGCATCTTCAGAATGCTTTTCTTTCACTTTATAGAAAACTCTGTAATCATTTTACAAAAGACCACTAGATTGCATTCTGTAAATGCAATAAGTGCAGAAAATAATTACATTTTGCCACCCTTAGTGCCACAACCTAAGTTCTAATATAGGCTTGTAAAAGTGTTTGATTGGATCTATTCTCTGTCTTTCTCAAGTAGGCTTTAGGTGTCTCTTTTAATGCTTCATTTTTCAGAGCATCTGAAAATGAAAACCAAAGAGCTCACTAAGATCAGTGTGTATCAAGTGGCTTTTTGGTGCAATCCTTATCTAAGGCCAGTGAAGTTCCCTCATTCCAGGAAGGGACCAAAGCCTTGGATGACCTGTCCACCAAAGATTCAGAGATTTCTCCAAGCACTTTCTGGAATCCAAGTGGATCCATCAGGTGCCGCAGATGAATCAGTCTTAATAGAGCCCTCTGATGTGTCGAAGAGCATGATAATAAAGCAGTTTTCTGCAAAATAGAAGAACTGAATGTAATTGCTAGATACAGTAAAAGGGAAACATATTACAAATAAGCTGTTATTTTAAACGGTATAATAAAATGCTCTTTTGCTTTGGATTTGGGCAGAATCAGCTATAGCTGGCTTTGAAATGCTATTCTACATACAAATTAACACTTTCACAAAGTTTTGTTCTGATGCATACAATCACTCTTCCTTTTTCTACTCTTTAAAAATACGTTTGTGCTTAATAAACTATTTGCAAAAGTATAATCTGGGTTTATAAAAAACAAGTTTTCAAGAATAAATACTGAACATTGCTGCTGTTTAAGAGCACAAAAGGTTGCAGTCCTTCTCTGTGCACTTGGATCCATCATGAGGATGGACAGGGGGCAACTTATAGTTTGATCAAGCTCGTAATGGTGCTACAGAATTTTAATCTGGAGATGCTTTACATACTGTTTCACTCACAAGGATAATTGTTTCAGAGTTGCAAGTAACAGACATACTTATAATTTCAATGTTGCATCATTTTTCTGATATCATATGTCCCACAAATCTGTAGAAAAATGCATATTTGAAGGCAATTTATGCTGGAGCGCCAAAATTGCTAATGCTCCCAATTTCAAGCCTACTATTTAATAAGATGATGGGAAGAAGGTGAGTCAGTCTGCAAGCAAACTGGTATCCAAAGTATTGCCTGGCAAAGTCAATGGCCACTAGTTCCTTTTAAAATGTAAAATACAGAATGTTTTATTCTACCCAGAATTTGTCATGGAGGCTGTCCTTAATCATTCATTAAGCCCCTCTTTATAAACGTGACATAGAGATCTATTGATACTGAGAAAAATTGCTCTATGAGATTACTAGCAACAGGTACTACATTTCATTTGAATAAATCAATCCATAAAATTAAGGTTTGGCTTTCTAAATATTGGAGGAGTGTGTATCTGTATTTGAGAAAGTTTTTCTAATGTAGCTATGCTTAATTTTCTTCCTAAGGAAGTGATATTTAGAGATAATTAAAAGAACAATGGCTCAGAAAAGACAAATTTGCATAATATACACAGACCTTGCTTTCTGAAACAATATTGTCCAATGTTAACACAATATTCACATTGTGTTTGAAGCAATGCTGCAGTTGAACATTTCTGTAGCACAGTGTCTAGAATAACTGAATTATCCATACTGTGAGTTTAGTATCCAGGTGAGGAGAATCATCATGGGGATAACTGAGCACTACACCTTATCCAGTCCAGGCCTTGCTGTGTATATTGAACCAGATGCTCCATAGAGCTGTGCAATGTGATAGCTCCCATCAGTGTATCCAAATCATTAAAGAAATCTAGGAAAGAAAACAATAAATGAGACTCATTAATCCTTGCTGTGCAACAGCATTTCATTGATTTGGAAATATCAAGCAGATAGTATTTTATGAAAGTACTGTAATCAAACATTAACTGATACTCAAAGGTTTAATCAAGGCACACACTGAACACTTTTACTGAGAAATAGCAAAGCTATTGTCATGATTTTGCTTAACTATAAACCAACAACGGGAAACATTTCTCTACCCTCTCATTTTGGTCCCTCCTTCTTGTCCATCAATGTCCCTTTCTAGGTTTTGCTTCTATACACCAGCATGCTCAGTTTCAGCCAATATTAAGAGTGCAGAAAGGATGTGATCTAGGAGGCCAGTTGGTGCAAATGCTAGATGTTCTGTTCAGGAAAAGAGGCACTGAGACAAAGCAACGAGTTCCAACAGTCTCCTTTATTACAACACCAACAGAACAGATTTTAAAATGGTGTGGCCCCCTTTTATAGCCCTCCTCACAATACCTTGCTGGCCAATCATTGCAAAGGCTAGAAGCAGCCTTTCTTGTCCCAGGCAGCACAATACCTTGCTGGCCAATCATTGCAAAGGCTGGAAGCAGCCTTTCTTGTCTCTGGGCATCCACATGGTCTGCCTGGGCCAATCGCTGCAGCCTGTGCCTGCCGGCCCAGGACATAACACCCCTCCCCCCTTGGCTAAAATAATAAGGCACACTTATTATTTTAAATACTCCAACACTCCATTACATTGCGTACATTGCATCTATATATACACAACACTACAGTCTTGCTATCGCCATGCTTCCCACTCCCCTTGGCTGCATTACTTAACCCAGACTACCAAGCCTGCCCATGAACTGACAAGGACCGTACATAGTCTTGTAAGTATTTGGGAGGACCTCTGGCCCGCCCTGATCTTCTCATGGCTGGTGTGTGTGCCTGGCCTGCCAGCTCGCCTGCCAGGCTAGGCAGACCAGGACTTTGTTGCCCCAAAGGCCCAGGGGACCCATCCAGCTGCTGACTGGCTGGATCTGCTAAATCCAAGCCAGGGTTCCTTGGGGGGGGGGTAGAATTTCCCAATTCCAGTGGTGGGATGGAATTCCCCAAGTCCCCACTGGACTTCTCTTGGGAGCACTGTCCCTTGAACCCTAGACCAGCAGCTGGAGTGGCCTGAATGCCGGAGGCCGGAGCTGCCTCCATGGCGAACCCCCTTTCTGCGGACTCCCTGTTTGGAGCAATAGCTGAAGCCTGGGGATGTTGGAGAGACCATGGTCCACAATCGTAATTGTGGTCCTCCTCCCCCCCCCAAGAGCAGAGCTAGGAGCGGAAGAGTTGCTGGGAAGCCTCCAGTGCAGTTGGTCAATGTGACGTTGGATCACACGACCATCGTCCAAGGCCACTTCGTATGACAGCGGCCCAGAGACCTTGCATACCACTGCTGTGACCCAGATATGTCCTGGTCCATAGTTCCTTGCCCAGACCGGATCTCCCACTTGTAGTCTCCTAGGTGCCCAAGGCTGTGACACCTGTGAAGCCACCCGGTCTGGGTGCAATCTGTCCAGTTTCGTGATGAGGCGGTGACCCCAGCGGTTCAGCTGGGCTCTTTCCAGTAGCTGTGCAAGGTGTGGTGCAGTGGCACAGAAGAAAGTTCGCTAGCCTGTGATGCCAGGTCCCGTGAGTGATCCTCTTTAAGGCATCCTTGGTTGTGCGCACCATGCATTCAGCCTGGCTGTTGGAAGCTGGATGGAATGGTGCCGATGTGGCATGCCGGATCATGTTGGCCTGGAGGAACTCCTTGAACTCAAACGACGTGAATTGGGGCCCGTTGTCGGAGACAAGGTCATCGGGAAGTCCATGTGCGGCAAAGATCCCTCTCAGCACCTGGATGGTCCTAGCAGTGGTAGTGGAGGAGACAGGCATGACCTCTAGCCACTTGGAATGGCTGTCCACGAGAATTAAGAAGAATTGCCCCTGAAAGGGCCCAGCGTAGTCGATATGAACCCTCGACCATGGGGTATGAGTCTCTTCCCACCTATGAACTGGGGCCTGGGGCATCTCTGGCCTTGACTGTTGACAGACAGTGCACCTGTGGACCTGGGCCTCGACATCTTTGTCGAGCTCAGGCCACCAAAGATGGCTGCGCGCTAACGCCTTCATCCGGACTATTCCCGGATGTCCCTCATGCAGAGACTGCAGGACTCTAGTCCTCAATGAGGTTGGGATTACTACCCTATAGGCTACCCTATAGGACACACCCCTTGAAGGTGGAAATCTCATGCTTCCTCTACCAGAAGCTCTGGAATTCTGAGCCTGGACATGTGTCAGGCCATCCAGACAACGCCCAAGTCAGCACGCATGTTAGCGTGTGATCAGTGGCTGTTTCTGCTGCCACATCCCTAGCACAGAGGGGAGATTCAGGCAAGTCCTGAATAGACAGGATGCGATTGGCAGGTGCTGGATCTGCCTCTATCTGCTGTAATGGCAACCTGCTGAGACCATCTGCATGACCCATTTCTTTGCCTGGCTTGTGAACCAGTGTATGGTCATATGCAGACAGGAAGATAGACCACCTCAGTATTCGGGGGGATATTATGTGTGGGGTTTGTTTGTTCATTGTGAACAACCCCAACAGTGGCTTATGGTCTGTAAAGACCGTGAAGTGGTGGCCATATACGAAGTCATGGAACTTCTTTATGCCAGCCACTATGGCTAAGGCTTCCCTATCTATCTGTGCATAATTGCGTTCAGCTGATGATAGGGTTCTCGAGTAGTATGCTATTGGGACTTGCGTTCCATCAGCCTTCAAGTGACTTAACACAGCCCCAGTCCCATGAGGGTACGCATCACAGGCGATGCACACTGGTAAGTTCTCATTGAAGTGCGCGAGGACCGCATTTGAAGAGAGCAAGGCCTTGACCTCTTTGAAGCTCTTTTCATGTGCTTGTGTCCACTGCCACGGGGACTGTTTGTCCAAGAGCCGGTGTAATGGCTCAGCCACTGCAGCCTTGTGAGGAAGGAATGAGTGGTAAAAATTTAGCAGTCCCAGAAAGGCCTGAAGTTCGCCCTTGGATTTGAGACTTGGGGCCTGCTGAGTTGTTTGCAGTTTGGATTCTGCAGGGTGGATGCCCTGAGCATCAATGCGGAATCCTAGAAACTCCATGGAGGTAACACCGATCTTGTACTTGTCTTGCTTAAGCTTCAGCCCCGCTTGGCGGAAACGTAGCAAAACGGCTCTCAGCCTTTTGGCTAAATTGTCAGCTGAGTCCCCAGCGATGAGGACATTGTCAAAGTACGGGCAAACGCCAGGGATATTTCGGAGTGTTCGCTCCATTATACTCTGGAGGATGCCACGGGCCACGTTTACCCCAAATTGCAATCTTTTTACCCTGAATGCCTCCCTGTGAGTCACTATAGTTTCGGCCTTAGCCGTTTCCTCATCAACTGGCAATTGTTGATAGGCCTGAGCCAGATCAAGCTTAGCAAAGATCTGCCCCCCCTTGAGGGAGGCTAGAATGTGACTGACCACTGGTACTGGGTATGAATGCTGCTGCAGCGCTTTGTTAAGCGTGCACTTGTAGTCCGCACAGATTCGGACTTCACCATTGGCCTTCAGTGGCGTAACTATGGGCGTTTCCCATGGACTACTGTCCACAGGCTCTAAGATACCCTGCTGAATTAGTTTATCCAGCTCTGCATCTATTTTTCCCTTTAAGGCAAAGGGCACCCTGCGTGGCTTGATTCTAATGGGGGCTATGGCTGGGTCTAGCCTCAGAGAAATAGGAGGGCCTTTGTAGGAGCCAAGTTCTGGACTAAACACATCTGCAAACTCCTTGCAGACCCCAGCCAGGCCTGTTGTTTGCACACTGTGTATTCCAGTCACCTGAATTCCCAGGGCCTCAAACCAGTCGAGTCCAATGAGACTCGTATGGTCTCCCCCAACCACAACTACATCCAGTAGCCCCTCAAAATTCCTACGCTGCACCTTGAGAGTGGCCTCCACCCTCATGTTGACTCTGGAATTTTGGAAATCTGTGAGGATGAGGTTTGACCGCCTGAGTTTCACCTGTAGGCCGCTTCTGCTGCAGACCTTGTTAAAGGTGTCTAAGGAGATGATCGATAGAGCAGACCCAGTGTCCAGCTCGACAAGGGGACCCCTTGCAACTTCACGTTGATGTGAAGCTTCTTCCTAAGCTTCTTCCTAAGTAGCCTGTGGACCCCCGTTCCAAAAACGCTCCTACATGACGCGCAGAAGCCCACCCTGTTCTGGCTGGGGACCCTGGTACCTTTCTGAGGCAATTCTTCTGGGTAACGTTCCTTCTGGCGACCCAAACAGATGGAGGCAATGTGGCCTTGCCTCCCACAGGCCCTGCAGATGGCAGAGTGGAAACAGCAGTCTGTGTGGCGATGGCGGCCTCCACACCCGATGCACCGAGGGGATGATGCTGGCTGGGCCTGCCCTCCATGAGGCCTTCTCCCTGGAGTCTGATGCAGCCGGTCCACTTCCAATTCTGGATCCTGTTCGGATTCTTCGTGAGCAACCTCTTGATGGATGGTGGCTGGAACTTGCGGGAGCTTGGAGAGCCGCAAAGCCTTCACAGCTCCACCTGCTGCTTCTTCGGCTGAAACTTCCCTCAGGGCATCTTGGAACGTGAGGCCTTCCTTCATGAAGAGCTTCTGCTGCAACTCCTGGCTTCGCAGGCCACAGACCAGCCAATCCCTCAGTCTCTCTTCCAAGTCTTTGAATTCGCAGGGCCTAGCTGCTTGTCGCAAGGCCGCAACAAACTCTGCTGCAGACTCACCAGGCCTCTGGTCCCTCTGCTGGAACGCGTGTCACCAGACAATCACTGAGAGCTTGGGTTCAAAATGTTCTCGAAGCATCCTCTTCAATTCTGTGTAGGTGATTGATTCCAGTGGTGCTGGGGTGACCAGATTCTCCGCAATCTCGAAGGTGTCTTGCCCCCTCCCACACAGCAGCGTGGCAGCTTTGAAGTCATCTTCACAAATTTGATTCACCCGGAGGTACTTCTCCACCCGGGCCACATATGAGCTCCAGCATTCTGGGTGAGCTGTATCAAATTCTGAAAGCCGGCCTATCTTTGCCATCATTTCAGCCCAGGAACTTCGTCCACGCCTCTTGCTGCAAGAATTGAGAAGGGCCCCCCTTTTCTGAGCTCACCTCCAGCGTCTCAGTGCTGGCAGGCTAAGTCAATCTCCAGGAGCCATACTTCTCCAAGCTGCAAGCCCCCCTGTGGTGAGTCAGCTTAATCTGTTTGCCTTGCAGGCATCCCACCTTCATCGCCAATATTCTGTTCAGGAAAAGAGGCATTGAGACAAAGCAACGAGTTCCAACAGTCTCCTTTATTGCAACACCAACAGAACAGATTTTAAAATGGTGTGGCCCCTTTTTATAGCCCCCCTGCACAATATCTTGCTGGCCAATCATTGCAAAGGCTGGAAGCAGCCTTTCTTGTCTCAGGCAGCACAATACCTTGCTGGCCAATCATTTGCAAAGGCTGGTCTGCCTGGGCCAATCGCTGAAGCCTGTGCCTGCTGCCCAGGACATAACACTAGACTTACTTTCTCAAGGACAATGCAGCACTCTAGGACTTGTATAGGCTTCTAGAAGCATATGGGAGTGAAACGTTCACTTTGAGATATAGAAGATGCCAGACAATATTCATGTGCTGAAACAAAATGTAACTCATGGACTGCCCACTTCTGCTGTAGTCCTGGGAAATTTAAGATTTGTGCTGCAAAGGGATTCCTTTCTTGCTTATGTTACAATATTAGAGGTTAGCTCTGAAGCTTTGGGAGGAACCTCCAAGATAAGAAGCCATATCAGGATTAGGTGGGGACCTAAGTCTGCTTTATCAGCAAAGGTGGGATTTCAGATTGCCAGACTTAAACTCTGGTTAAAATAACATTTTAGCTTTTCAACAAACTGTTTCTTATCACAAACCTTGGTTTTCCTTGGCAACATTGTCAGCCATCTCCCAGTAGTCGTAACTGTGTAAGATGCTGTTAGTGATACTAACATGGTTGGCTGCCATCTGGTGTATTCGCTGAGGAATGCTGATGATGGAGGAAGGGGAAGGAGCTCCGGTGCTCCCAACTGAGCTCAGCGGAGACAGACTGGGTGATATGGGAGGAGTTCCTGTACACCTGGAACAGTCAATTCAACAATATTACTAATACACAATAGCAGTAAAAAAAGTTATGTTAAGAATGCATCCAGTTTAGAATTTTACACATGTTTAGCCTATGAACTGCTTTAAGATAAATTTGGCTCTCCCCCTGTACTTTTCAACATGTAGTTAATGTTGTTTCAGGATATAAAGGAGGACAGATGAATTGAGGCTACCAGAAAGACAGCTTTCAGGTTGCAGACATCAGTCTTTTAACATTTTATTTTGCTTAGACAACTGGTAAATTAAATTTGCATATTTATTACATATATAAAATATGAATATGGTAGATATTTTCAAAATTGGATCATACTTTCCAGCCTGTCAAATTAAGGATTGCCTGGGGATGATGGGAGTTGTAGCGCAACACAACTGGAGGACTCCAGATTGAGGAAGCCTTCCATAGCAGACCAAGGCTTCGTGCTTAGAAATGCGTGAAGTAATCTTCACATTTCATTCAAATTACCTTTATTTTTTTTAGCAAAATAAGCTGCAAAGTGCTTCTTTTTTTATTGACAACGAGTTACCATAAACAAAGATTAGCAGCAACAATGAAACATTATCTTAAAATGCCCAGAAATGGAACTGCTGTGAGCATTAATGGCTGAATGATCATTTAGTATTACATAGCTTCCCCAACAAAGTGCATCCATCTGAAATGCTTTGGTCTGGAAGGCAAGGAGCATATTAGGACACAAAATAGTAAACTTACTTTGCATTAATATTCCAGGTAGATGGTGCCTGAACAACTTTAGATGAATTCTGGAGACATAAAAAAAAATACAAAAAATTGAAATAAGCATCTAGTGCAGAATATGGAGAGAAACAGAGCAAAAGCTTTAAAATCCATATGCAGAATGCACATCTTAAATTATGATATGGATAAAAATATTTATTTAGTACTCAGTGCAATTTCTAGTTACAATACCAAACAAATGATAAAACAAAAAATATTGAAAGAAAATGTAACAGTAAAACAATACATAGCAATTTGTTTATCTCTTATATTTACATCCTGCCTTTCCTCCAAGACTCAAGATGGCAGCATAGCATCCCTGTTTTCAATTTCCTCCACTACAAACACAACTAAGGAGAGGTAGGCTGGATTGAAAGTGATGGACTGGTGCAAAGTCATTCTGTAAGCTTTCATGGCTGGGGGTGGTCAGAATAGGAACATACCTTGAAATACTCAATGAGAGCTTTTGAATATTTTACAGCATGGTCTCTTTTGAGTCGAAACATTTTCCAGTACAAAAGTGCCAAACAGCGGTAACTACAAGGAAAGGACAGAAAACACTTCTAAAAGAGTCTTCCATTTTAATAATCAAAATAAAATACAAATATCTTTCTGAGACTGTTTAAATTTACATGTTAAAACTGGAAAGGAGATAAAGTACAGCAAGCATTGCTCTTAATGTATGCAGTCATTTTGTTTTGTTATAGTAATAGTATAGCTTTCCACCACTAAAAATCACAAATGTTTCGGATTGCAATTTTATAAAATTTAATGAGATTATATACTTAAAAATAGATACAGTCATAGGTACAGATTATATATTAATAACACTAACCCTCTCAAGCCTTTACTAAGGCTTAACTGAAATGTGTTTATTTACAGAAAGATCCTGGAATAACAAAGGCAAGTATTTTTTTCAGCATTATTGTTTGCAAATAAAAAGATTATTGCTCTTAAAAAAAAGTTAACAAAAAGTGGAAACATTTCTTAGCTTAGAAGAAAGGAAAGGGTAAATCAGAAGTTGTGTTTATTGCTATGTGGCTTAAATAAATGGTAACAAGAACAAAGAAAGGTTAAAATTGTAAAATTTGAAAATGTATGTTTAATATCTATAGTAGCTATCATAATCTTAGATAAATTGAATAATATAGTAGACTTGATTTTCCTTTTCATTCCAATAGAGGGTAGTCTCTGCTAGGAGATGAAAAAGGAATAGAACAATTTTGTAGTAACAAAGCTCCAAATGAGAATTATGCCCAATTTGCTTTGCATGGTGTTATAATGGAATTAAAGATCTCAGGTCATAACTCACTCTATAACCTTCCCAGGTATAGTGAAAATGTAGATGAGAGCAACTTATCTGTTCTGCAGCAAGAAAGGTATTATGATAACTAATCAATGCTGTTTAGAGGGAGTCTAATGCCTTTGGATTAAATTCCACAAACTAGATGTGCTATTGCTAATTGTTACAATTATTGTTAGTCCTCCCTTCTCACAAAAGAGATGCTACAAAGTAAACAGAAGTTTTAGAACCATTTTTTAAGTTCTACTGTGGCAGGATAACTGAAAATATAATACTCACATTACACTACTCAAAATATTGATTTGAAAGCTTATTTTTAAAGCATATATGTAATTTGTGTTACTATAAAATAAACTGCAAAATTAGAGGCTGACAATTTATCAGAATCTTAAGAGTCCTGAACCCTGTCAAGCTTTAGTGCAACTATTTCTGCATATAGCATTGGGAGAGATACCATCACTAGTGTGTTAAGCTCAAAAAGATTTAGATAAGAATCAAAACAACATATACAGAGGGGGGGGGAGAGGGAGGGAGGGAGGGAGAGAGAGAGGGGGGAGGGACAGTTTATAAAATCTCTGTGGCTTGATAAAGGTGATTTATTCATTGATTTTCAGTAACATCTTCCTCCTAAAGAAAGGTTCTTGATGCCTATTTGGTCGTCTACAGTTTTTCATGCAGAAGAACTAGAAACATAAGTCAGGATGTATTATTAACACGACCCAGTGCAGTAAGGCAATATGAGCATTGCCTTACAGACATTAATACATGAACAGATGGCATTCTGTACTGCTTGCAATGCTTGTTTTTCTTGTTCACAGATGAGGAATAGTATTGGCATATATGAACATCCACAGGGGAAGAGTGGAATCATGAAATGTTCACCACATTGTGATGCAAACCATGTGCCTTACGTGTGTCTAATATTACAGTGACAGTACAAAAGCTACATTATCATTTTTGCCGAATAGAACACCTATGACTAGTTTGCTCTTCAGAGATTTTAGCTTGAACTGCTCTGCAATGCTTCTGATAACAATCAGTCACAAGGTATGTCAGGGGAAAAACTTGTTAAAAAGAAACAAGAGACAACACACAACAAAATTCTCTCAAATCTAAAATATGATTAATTATATCACTCATAAAATAGGTATCGATATATTTTTCCTTTCAGAGGTAGAAAGCTAACTCTTTCCATTTTCTAAAGATCTGGCAAGGCATAGCTACTTGGCAGCATATAGCTGAAATTGGTTGAGCTCAAACATTTAAGCTGGATTAGCAATTGGATGACTGTAGTGTAGACAAGAAAAATTCCAGAAGAAGACATTGGCAAACCATTGTCAAAAAAAAACCTGTTTGGATGTATTCATGAGGTCACGTTGAAGCTTGCTAAAGTTTAATTTTAAAAACAACATAGGAAAAGCTGGTTTTTGAATGGTTATGTGGTACTACAGGTAGACCTTGATTTAAATTATTTATTTAATGACTGTTTGAAGTTATGATGATGTTGAAATAAGAGATTTATGACTCACTTATGGCCACTGTAACATCCCTAGGGTCACGTGATCAAAATTTGGTTACTGTGGCCTATTCAGAATTAGGCCATGAGAGTGGCTGGCCTGAATGTGCGCATGTGAGCGCAGCTCAACTTGTGTGAGAGCCGGCAGGTACTCGCGCTCATGTGCTGACCCGCCACTTATGCAAGTTGAGCTGTGTGCAAGCCGCCAAGATTGGAGGCCGCTGGTGTAACAGTTCATCAGTTCTCCAGGATTTGTCCAAGTTAATGTAAAAAGGATTGTTCAGATAATCAGCTACTTCCTTGACTACCTAGAATACAATTCATTTAATTCTACGACTTAAACTGATTCTGTGTTTGTAGGTATGTATCTGCCCATCCATTCAATTAATGCATCTATCAGTCTGAGGCATCAATCCTCTATTTAATTCTAATTGTGACAATTTCTGGTCAGCAATTAAGTGTACTGTTTCTTTTCTCTCCCTTTTATTTTGAACAGATAGAACCTCTCCAACCCTTCGCATTTTTTGCCAATCTCAGCTATTCCTAGGTTTTAATTCTCCTGACAGCAGCAATATGATCAAGCTCCCAGTAGTATTCTTCTGCTGTGACTTAGTTATTTGTGTATTTGTTATGGGTACTTTGTTTTCTGATTTTCCTTAAATATTTTAGGTACCTTTGCTAACTTCTTCTGCTGTCCTTCATGTTACTTCTTTTTTGGAATTGTTCTCCAAGTACCCTGAACATCCTTTTATGGAACTTTTCTAGAAGAACCTTTTGCAATTAGCATTTTTTTTACTAAAGAATCCTTCTTTGCTCTGAATTTATTAAAATTACTTTTTTGAAGTTCAAGATTGTTCTTTGACTATCTTCAATTTTAGTATTCCTTAAAATCCAATCTTTAAACCTCATAAGGTTGGGGCACTTTCCCCCCATATTCCTTCTATTTCTACTTCTTTAACTAATTTCCCTTAATATCAAGTCAAGTATTGTACAGCCAAGTCTCTGGCGTTGTCTTCTACTCTCTGAAAGAAAAAGGTGTCAGTAAGATAAGTTTGGAATTTCCTGGAATGTCTACACTGATCCAATGTTTTTCCCAAGAGATGTTGGAGGAATTACTCAGTGCTGCTCTGAAATATCGGCAATTCGCTTTTTCAAAGCTTTATCCGCATCTTGTACTAATTGGTAGTAGATGTGAACAAAAATAGTGCTTCATTTTTCCTCTTTTAATCTTGAAGCTTCCTACAGTATTGCCATGTTTATTCACAGATTTTCTGAGTGCATTTGACTATAGTTACTTGTTTATGGAACTTCTTCACTACTTAACTAATGATAGATTCTAAGTGGTATAGAGGTGATGATAAAATACAGATTATGTTAAAATAAAGCAACATGACACAATAGATAAAAATAATACATAAAATGAGGCCACAAGTTACTCAGATATCAATCTTCTATCCTATTCCTCTGGTTACAGAACAACCAGTTTTTAAGAAACTTCTGAAAAATTGTAATGGAAGATACTGCTTTTGTTTCTGGGGGCAAGTTGTTTCAAAAGAGGGGTATTTCTACAGAGAATGCCTGCTTCCATGTCCCTCTATTGGTCATCTTAGCAGGAAGGACTTTCAATAGACACTTTCTGCTTCCATACTATGGATGCACAGATTCTATTTGGAATCCTCCAAGAAGCTGTTCGAAGATCTGCGAATTCTCCTTAACTGCTATAGTGATGTACCAGATGCAGCTATTTTTTGAAAGAGAATGCTCCAGAGACAATTATTCATGTTGTCATCACCTTAATTATACACATTACAGTTGGGTTACTATAACGTTGTCTATTGGGACTGCCTCTAAAGACTACTCAAAGCTGAAGTTGGTCTATACTTCAGCATCCCATCTGTTAATAGGTTGGTCCCAGTTTAACAAAGTCACATGATTCTGTAAGAGCTGCCCAGGCTACCAGTAGTTTTCCAGGACAATTCAAAGAGCTTGTAATCACATAAAAATCTCTTTATTGGCTGAATCTTTGATTTTTGAGGGACCATCTTCTCTAAGTAGACTTTCCCATTCTATGAGTCTACTTGGGAAGGTAAGCTTCGGATCCTTTCTTTTAGTCTGGGGAACAGAAGTGCAGAACCAGGCTTTTCTCCTGGCTTTGGAGAATTTTCCTTCCCCTAGAGTCAGAATGGAATCCTTCTTGATTTTATTCACATCAAGAGAATCTTTTGTTTGGCCTTTGGAAGACACACTAATTGGAATAAGAAATATGGCCTTTGGTAGTTATGCTTTTTTGTGGTTATTTGTGTCTTGGTAAAATATTTTCTATTATTTTAAGTTTATGATGCTTTTATGATATGTTTTATTGTTATAAGCTACCCAGCAATGTGGGACAGCACACACATGTAGTAAAATAAATAAAATATAATTTTATGAGCCAATATTCTTTATGATTTTTCAGACAGTGATTTCATTAGAATATTTCCATTTCTGCAGCACACAAGTTTTTGTCTGAGACTTTTACATATAGATTTTCAGCTCCACTAGATTAAGATTAAAGCTTTCTTAATTGAATAATTCTTTAGCCAGGTAATTTAGATCCTGAAACAAAATACAGTATCTGATATCATTTGTATAGTCAGCCATTTGTTTGCAGAATGTAGGGGGTTTTTTTTAGTCTGTTTCAATGGATAGGAAGGATTTAATTCCACATACTATAGTAGTAAGCCATCAAATCTTCTCTTATTTTTATTTATTTACTTTATTTTTTATATCCCACCTTTATTATTTTTATAAACAACTCAAGTGAGGAACACACACAATACTCGTTCCTTCTCCTATTTCCCCCAGAACAACAACCCTGTAAGGTGAGGTGGGCTAAGAGAAAGTGACTGGCCCAAAGTCATCTAGTCAGCTTTCATGCCTAGCCTGGTGCCTTGACCATTAGACCAAACTGGCTCTCATTCTTATTCTTCTTATACGGCCCAGCTGTATTCCTTCTGTCCCCAGGATCTATTTCCCTTTGATCTATTGCTTCCTTTTTTCTTCTCCTGAAGGCTTATGGCTTGTTTCTTCTTTGAGGTACAGGTAGTTCCTGACTTACAACAATTCATTTAGGGACCATTCAAAGTTACAACAGCACTGAAGAAAGTGACTTATGACCATTTTTCACACTTATGACCATTGCAGCATCCCCTTGGTCACATAATCAAAATTCAGATGCTTGGTAACTGACTTATACTTATGATGGTTGCCTGTCTCAGAGTCTTGTTTTCACCTTTTGCAACCTACTAACAAGCAAAATCAATGGAGAACCCAGATTCACTTAACAACCATGTCATTAACTTAACAACTGCAATGATTCACTTAACAACTGTGGCAAAAGATCATAAAATGGGGCAAAACTCACTTAACAACTGTTTTGCTTAGCAACAGAAATTTTGGGTTCAATTGTGGTCGTAAATCGAGGACTATTTATATTTAAAGGTGTTTTTTTTCTAACTCTTGTCCACTGGCCTTACACTTTTGTTTTTTTTTCCTTATTAAAAGTTGTGTCCTCTGTCAATTCCCAACTAGGACCTCCTTCTTTTGATTTGTATGTTATATTGTTCCCTTGTCAGATTTTCAGAATAGCTGTATGCTGGTAACTTAGGAAGTATGCCACTCAGAATCCACAATGGGCAATTAACAGTTATTTAGAGAATTAACACTGAGAATTTTTTTTAATTTATGGGAAAATAGGAGTTTAAAGCTGAATGACATGATTTTACAAATGTTGCTCCTTAGAAACATGAGAGATATTATAGCAAAGAAAAAGAAAGTATTTATTGATCTTTAAGATTTCAAATGAGATAAGCAGGGATAAACTGAAAGACCTTTCTGTGCCAAATAAAAGATTCTATTGTAGCTTGTAAAAAAATTTTTTTTTAAGATTACTGACTAGTTAAGGATGTCAAACCAATTTCACTCCTATTTATAAAAACCAATCTCAATTTTACACTAAGACAAAACTTCTGTAATACAGACATGGGACTGTCTATAAAAATGCTCAGCTAGTCTAAAACATAACCAATATATTAATACCAGCCACATGAATTGCTTAAAACTATAGATGTCTTAAATATTCTATAAAAATACTAGACGGATATTAATATTATAATAATCTGCATGTTGCATGAAATAGCAATGTTTCTGGGCTCAATTTAAAGGTGATGGTTGTAATCTTATATAACAGACAAAAGGCATTGTGAAATCTGGTATTGCTTAATTATTATAACGTTCCATTTTAAGGATTGAATAAATGAAAAAATTTTGAATACATTTTAATTTACTCACCATAATGCTGTTAATTGTTTTTCTTCTGATGTCATACTGGAACCTGAGTGGGTTTTTAGTCTCACAGCATATCTGCAAAGATGGAGAACAAAGTCAGGAAAGCAAACAAGCAAGCAAGCAAACAAACAAACAAATAAATATGAAACATTTTATAGCTCAGTGGGACTTTAGTTTACCTAAAGTTATCATCTCCCCCTCTTGTTCCTTTCAGTGGGAACACTTTAAAAATACTGGGTCTGTCTACCTGCCAGCTTTAACAAACCATAGCAAAGTCTTTTCCCTTATGAAGCTTAGATGAATAACCCCTAGCACTGTTTATTCTTCTTTTCCTTGACTATTAACTTCTTATCTTCCTGGTTTTTTCCCATTAATGTCATCACATTTGATCATTTCTTTCAGTTAGCTCCAATTCTCAAAGTGACTTACTACTGATTAATTAAAATGCTTTATAATGATCATCATTTACAGTATTTTGCATGACACTATACTAGATGGTCTCATTCTTTCATTCACTTCAAAGGTTCTAAAAGTTCATGAGGTTCAAAGTCCCCTCTTCTGCATTTAACCTTTTTTTACTACAATGTTCCATCTCATTTATATCCCTCCTTGCTTTGCAAACATACTATAAATATGTATCCTTGTGAGTTTAATCCAAATGTGAAATATTTTTCTGATGAACATTTTTGTGGTTTCTCCTTTTATATTTTTAAATACATAAACAAACAAATGGACAACACTTCTAAAGATCAATTTTTGCAGATGTTTGTTTTTTTCTGTTTTCATATTTTTGTTAGATTTTCTAGTGATATTTATTTATGTAAACTATTTACATGGCCACTATAGTGACTCAAGGTGAAGAAAAAAATAACCCGGTTAAATAATTAAATCACCCTTAGGAGGGATCTAATATAAGATGGAAACCCCTACCCTTGAAATTGGTTGCTTTGTTCTTGGCACTCTTGATTTTCTTCTTCAATAATATGGTTGATTGCATAGTCAGCCAGATATTCAGACTGGATTTTGCATTTTTGTCCACCTAACGCAGGGATGTCAGACTCAATTTCATTGAGGGTCGCATCAGCATTGCGGTTGCCCTCAGGGGGCTGGGTGGGTGTGGCCTACTGGGTGGGTGTGGATGGAGTGGGTGTGGCCTATTGGGTGGGTGTGGCCAACTCTACATCGTTCGCGTCAAGGGTGCCTGTGGGGGCCTGGGCAGGAGTGGGATAGATCTGAGGGTCTCTGGCAGAAGGGGGTGGGACCAGGGCAAGTACCAAGGCATGGTCCACTGGAGGAGCCTCACTGTTCCTCTCAGGCTATGCGGGGGGGGGGGGGCTTATGGAGCTAAGACTGAATCCGTTTCAGCATATATGGCCACCAAAAATTGTACATTGGCTCCCGGCCGGCCTGGGCAGAGGGGGCCATTCCCTCACTGTTTCCAGGATGAATTCGCGGGCCACATGAAACCACTTTGCGGCTGCATCTGGCCCCCGGGCCTTGTGTTTGACATGTCTGACCTAATGAGTCCTTCACAAGGATCGAAGATATGCAGATGTGGATCCTTGATGATAAAGGTATCGTCATAGGGATGTAAGCTATTCTGAGCAAAGCTGCCTTTGGCAACTGACTGATGGTGATTTTGACAATGCCAATGGCATTCAAGAGGTGCTCCAATTGTTGTGGATTTGCACTCAAGGAACCTACAATTATTGGCCGTACCTTTGTCTTCTTTTGCCATAGTCGCTCTATTTATATTTGCAGGTCTTTGTATTTTATTATCTTGTTCAGCTTTTTCTCTTCTGTTCTGTTATCTCCAGGTACTATCACATCCACTAGCTAGACTTTTTTTGTCTTATCAACAAATTTTAACTCTGGCGTGTTATGGGGCAGATGCCTGTCTATTTGAATTCTGAAGTCCCAGAGCACTTTAGCATCTTCATTTTCTATTACTTTCTCTATTTTATGGTCCCACCAATACTTGCTTTCAGGCAAATGGTATTTCTTGCAGATCTTCCAATGGACTTTTTGTTGCTATTTTGTCATGTCATTTTTTGTAGTCAAACTGTGATATCTTCTTGCAGCAGCTAATCAAGTTGTTCAATGTTTCTTCAGCTTCTTTGCAGAGGTTTCTTTGCTATCTCTTGCTGTCTTCTCAATTCTGGCTCAATGCATTTGTTCTTAAAGCTTGGTCTTGTGTTGTCAGAATTAGTCCTTCTTCAACTTTCATTGCCAGGTCTTGTTATCATCTCCTTTCCCTGCTATTTTTTGTAATGCACTGGGCAAATAATGCTTTGTTTTCCCATGCCACTTTTCTGTTCTTCATTTGGTCTTTATTGTAGATTAGTTTGGTCCAGTGCTTTTTTTGTAAAAAAAAAAAAAAAAAAAGGTGCCGGGACTCACATACATTATACAATCCATCTTGCCTACCCTACAAGGTTTACCTTTGTAGTTGAAAAAAAAACCCTTCAATTTTTAGTGTATCTAAAAGACTAGGATTTTGTTCAAGGTAAGTTAATACTATTAATGTTACCATGTACTGTGTGGCTTTAAATTACAAGAAGGCATTTTATTAATCTTTTGGGACATTTACCACTGACATACCCATTTAATTTAATGAGTGGAAATGTCAGCTTTCTATGTGGAATGAAATTGGCTCAATAAAACAAAATTTGGTTGCTTGTAAAAGATTGAATTATTTTTAAGAAGCTGTTAAACAAGGTGGAAAAATTTACATTTGGAGTTTAATATGGATATTGACTTGAAACAAATTAAAGTTGAAACTTTGTCAGTGAACAGATTACTTTTAATTTACCTTTAAGTTAAATCCAATTTAATAAATAAATCTGATTACATGCTGTAGGTCTACCTTTACATCTGACCAATACATAATTAATATATATTATTAATAATAATAATACCTCCAAATCACAAGACATTGGCTTTATTCTTATTCTTCCCCTCTGCAGTTTGAATATAAAGTATAAAAGACTAAAAAGAGATTTTCGTAGACATCCCAGCCTTTGAACTACCCAAGGAACCGAAAGAGTAAAGTTTCACTGTCAGGCAAGCTTCCACGCCAACCGCCTTTCTTTCCTCTCCCTTCGCCTCTTTTTACCCTCACACCTCACCTTCTGTAAGGGAAGGCAAAAGGTTCATTCACCCTCTTGTGAAAGATGGCCTCCATGTTTATGTGTCTCCCACCACTACCATCAGCTTCCACACCATATGGTCCGACCCAACCAATCAAGCCACGCTCTGGCTGTGTGGTGCTCCAGTGCCTCATGGCTCCTCCTAGAGGAGGCAGACAGAGCTGCAGGGGACCCCACTCACACTGTACCGCCAATGGGGGATTTTCAAAAATAAATGAGGATAGGAAGGGAAACAATAGGAAAAGAATGCAACTCTGAAAAAATCCATCAAAAAAAAAAAGGTGCTAGAACTCTGTTCCGGTTCATTGTATGACAAAAAAAGCCCTGGTTTGGTCTCTCCAGTACTCAATAGGATTTCCTGGTATACTAGCTTCATTGCACCTTCTTCACTATACTTCAGATATTCTTCCAATGCCCACCTCCAATGGAGGTAAGGAAGCCTCCCTTAATTCTGTCTATACCAGACATGTCAAACACAAGACCCAAGGGCCAGATGCGGCCTGCGAAGCCATCCTGGAAACAGTAAGGGAATGGCCCCCTATGCCTTGGCCCTGCGGAGCCAATGTACAATTTTGTGGTGGCCATCTATGCTGAAACACATTCAGTCTTAGCTCCATAAGCCATCCCCTTGCATGGCCTGAGAGGAACAGTGAGGCTCCTTTAGTGGACCATGCCTTGGCACTTGCCCTGGTCCCAGCCCCTTCTGCCAGAGACCCTCAGATCTGTCCCACTCCTTCCCAGGCCTCCACAGGTGCCCTTCACACGAAAGGTGTAGAGCTCGCCACACCCACCCAGTAGGCCACACCCACTCTATCCACACCCACCCAGTAGGCCACACTCACCCTGGCCACACCCACCCACCCCCCTGAGGGCAACTGCAATGCTGATGTGGCCTTCAATGAAATTGAGTTCAACAACCCTGGTCTATACTGTTTTTTAAAGATCACTAGTCTTCCCTCCCAGAAAAATGTAAGGGTTGATAAATATTAAATAACATTGTACAGTAATAAACAGGTAAGCTACAAGTTATCTCATTATTTACAATAAGGACCAATTCCTCACAACGTTGCAGGAAAATTGTTAAGAAGAAATAAAGGAAGTCTCTGGTTGTATTTCGGGGGGATAAATGAAACCACCATGGGTGACTTCATTTGCTGAAATTCGTACAAATAGGAGGATGCTGCAAATGACTGTAAAGATGATCTGGTTGCCAAGCGTCTAAAATACAACGACTGTGGGACGGGGTGCAGCCATTTAAAGTTCAAAAATGGGTTTTAAGTAGTTTTTGTTTGTCTGTCATAACTTTGGATAGTTGTTAAGAGACTGATCAAAAGTCGACGACTACCTATATACTGCATAAGCACGAGAGTCAGCCAATTTTTGGAGTATTGTCAGAGGCGCACCTGATGAGCTCCACAGTTTCTGCATACATTGTGTACGGGGACTTTGATTCCATGGGTCCTTGTTCCATGGCATTTCCACACTCAATAAATGATAATGCAGCTTCAGCATAATTCAGTGCCTTGCCAAATTTTTCCACCTTCAAGATAAAACCAGCAGGAAAAACATGACAAAATAATGTATTTGTATCTATCCTTGAGTAGTAATGACTTCTTACTAATGTCTTCTATACAAAGAGGCAGACTATTTATGTTAGCAAATAAAAAAGGCTATTTTATTTAGTTTGGATTATTTTAAGATTTGTATAAGATTTTTCCCTCAAGGTTCTTGCTAAGTCACAAAGTGTCTACTTAACCTAATTTAGTTTGAACCAAGAAACTACTATTTCAGCTTCAGAACAAGAGAGTATTTTAGGCTTTCAACTAGAATTTAAAACTCTAGATCTGAAGTTGGTAAGTTTCTCAGTAGAGAAGATAGGAATATCTAGTCAATTACTAATTTTATAACATATCAAGATTCAGGAGATGGCAGTCCCTAACTAAATTTAATGGTTAAGCAGTCAGCTGTGAGACCATTTGCAAATTCAAGAGCTCTTGGATAGACTGGGATTTCAAATACCCTGGATGAAAGCATTACAATTCTGTAATGCTACCAAGAAAACTGCATGGATGATGTTTGCAGGAGAAGTGCTTCATTTGAAGGTATCTTTATCTTTAGTTCAGTAAGGCACATCATGAAAAAAGCAAACCAAATTCAGGCCTTGATATGCTGAAATATGAAGTATACACCAATGCAGCTAAGCTGATATGTAGCATTTACAAATGAATGGTCAAAATAAATAAATGCAAAGAGAAATAGGACTATAAAAATATGAGCTTGTATATATGGTTTGAGCACAAAATTCAGAGTAAATCTCTAATTTAATCAGTAATCATTTTATTCTGTGTGTGTGTGTGTAAGAGAGAGAGAGAGAGAGAGAGAGAGAGAGAGAGAGAGAGAGAGAGAGAACTCATGCACAAGCAGCCTGTGTTTTGACTCCTGGCAACTGTGTGAACAAATTTCTGCAATGTTCTTGGCATGTTTTTTTTTCCAAAAGTGGTTTGCCATTGTCTCCTTCCTCTAGAGCAGGGCTTTTCAACCTTTTCACCTATTGTACCACTTTTAAGATATGGCAATGCCCGAGTACCACCAGTCGCCTAGCAAGGTGTCAAAAACCTGATGACCAAAAAAAAAAAAAAAAAAAAAGGAAAAAAAATGATAAAGTACAGGTAGTTCTCGACTTACAACAGTTCGCTTAGTGACTGTTCGAAGTTACAATGGCACTGAAAAAAGTGCCCCCCAAGCCACAGCCAAGCAAGACACCTGCCTGCCTGCCTGGCCACGCTCTTCCTCCTGTCCGAGGTTTCCATTATTGTGAGCATTTCTATTGAGGATTGGCAGCGGGGGTGGAGTGGGGGATGTTTGGTTTTTATTCCCCCCATCTGCTGGGTGGTTGCAGCAGGTTTTGGTCACTTCACATGACCCTGGGACACTGTGACTATCATAAATATGAATCAGTTGCCAAGCATCTGAATGTAAATTACAAGACCCTGGAGACGCTGCAACATTCCAGCTGATCGGTGCTTCTTCTCGGCTCAGCAGAAGTGCCAGGATCAGTGCTGCTTTCCAGCTGATTGGTGCTTCTTCAGGGCTCAACAGAAGTACCAGGATCAGCGCAGAGCTCCAGCTGGAGCCTGGCACTTATCCTGGTGCTTCCACTGAGCCGACGGCCCCGAAGAAGCGCCGATCAGCTGGAAAGTAGCACTGATCCTGGCACTTCCGCTGAGCCCTGACAGCTCTGCAGCTCCAGCCATCTCTCGCTCAGGCTTGTGCGGTACTGCCACCGGTTCAGCTTATTCCCCTCCCCCACTACCACTTTTCTGGGATGGTCACGTACCACCTGCCAGGTGCCAATGTACCACAGGTGGTACCCGTACCACTGGTTGAAAAGCCCTGCTCTAGAGCTGGAAGAAATTCTCCCATGTACATTGTACTGAATACATATTTAGCATTATTAAATCAAGGCCCACTGATATCAGGAGAAGCTTGCTGACTATACCCATTGGGGGTACCCAATGCTGTTGTTGTGTTCAAAAATGGCTAGGGAGTTTAGCAGAGGTTTCATGAATGAAAGGGGAGTGATTATTGCAAATTCCCCTTGCTCTTGCAAGTTTTCCCAAAAGCAAGATATTTTTGCAAACTTTCAAGGGGAGGAAAAGGAATACACAATTGCTTATGGCAGGGCCCCCAACCACCAACCACTATTGGGCCTTGACTGTTCAGAACTTGGCCATGGAAGTGACAAGTGAGTGCACGCGCATATGCGCGCATCTTCACTTGTGTGAGCAGCAGGCAAATGCACGACTGCATATTCCTTTTGTGCAAGCAGCAGCCGCATATGTCCATCATTCTCTCAAAAGGAGCTGCGCCTCTCCCCCTTCCCCTGTCCCTCTCCCCGACCGGACCACAAAGCCAGAAAAGTTGGGGAACTCTGGCTTATAGAACAAACTGAGGGTTTGCAAATAGTGTTCTATCCTCTTCTTGTTCAAAGAAATCAGTGTTGGATCAAACTGCTTTCTGAGAATGTTAGCTCTGGTCTGGCCTGTAGTATTTTAATCTACAAATGATCCATTATATATTTGATAATGGGGTTTGCTATACTAATGCAGTGTTACACCCATATAATATTTTTTAAAAAGAATTGGACTATCTCAAATTTTAATTTATCTAAAATGTATCTGTTAATTGATCTTGGATAATTGTTTATATGATTATATTTAAATCTGTGCTGGTAAGAGAAATGTACATGTTAGAAGGATTTAAAAATTACTATTAGTAAAGTTTTCCTAAGAAAGTTTTATTATACAGATAAATTGGAATAATGTACCAGAAATTCAAGCATTCTTACCATTGCATCCGCTTTATGCTTTTTTCTTTTAGCTTCCTGCATAAAATAATCTAAATTGTGCAGTCTAGAATGAAAGGAAAGAATAAGAATTAAGTCTGATATATATTCCTTGTATATTAAAACATTTTATTTAATGGTAATTCCAAAACAAATATGTGCTCAATATTTCATGGATTCCAAATAACAGTAAAAAAATTAGGCAAACATAATGTATCAATCAAACTATATAGAAACACCATAGACAACATATAATTAAGATGCAAAATATTTCTTTTCTGGTAAAAGTTTTTTGAATTTAAATGGGAAATGTATTCTAAAGTTTTTAAAAGTGAAAAGCCTAATTGATAGCATTGCTACATTGAAATTTAACATTTGCAGTTAAATATCTGAAAATATTTTCCTGGATTATTACAAAATGAGCTGTGGTGGCACAGTGATTAGAATGCAGTACTGCAGGCTACTTCTGTTGACTGCAGTTGCCAGATTCTCACCGTCTCAAGGTTGAAAGGTTGACTCAGCCTTCCACCCTTCCAGTAAAATGAGGACCCAGATTGTTGGGGCAACATGCTGACTCTGTAAACTGCTTAAAGAGGGCTGTAAAGCACTATGAAGCAGTATATAAGTCTAAGTGCTATTGCTGTACTCTACACAGGCTTGAAGACCACTAAAAAACAGAAGTGGTGCAGAATGCAGCAGAATTGTAGTTATGGTTGCATCTTGGTATAGCTATTGTAACTTTACCAAATGAATTGCACCAGGCTCTCAGTAAGCATTCTACATTCAATGTATTGTCATCTACACAATACATGTCTTCATAGTATAGGGCTGGGTTATCTGAGGGCTCCCTTTTCTACAATTATGCCTCAAGTTTCTTCTTTTAAACATGTTATCTAATGCAGCAGCTCCAAACTTTTTGGGCTGATTCATGGAGAAAGGTTTTTACGCGGACCGGAGGGGGCATGGTTTTATGTGCTGTCTGCATCTCGCAGATGGGGCTTTGCTTGTTTGAGCGGCCTGGTTGCTGGCATGCTGGTCCACCAATGAGGGCTTGGGACCCCTGATCTAATGGGACTCAGAAAGCATGCTTCTTTGTCACTGTACTGCCTTGTGGAATAGTAAATCCACCAAGATCCAGATGTCCCAATTCTGGTAGCTATTAGTAAGATTCTGGAAACCTCTTTTTTTCTCAAGTACTGGGCCAGGACATTAGGACAGTGAGCAAAACAATTGCATTATGTTTTGATAAAGAATGCTGGCAAACATTACAACCCACAGTTATTCAGAATAAAGGTAGTTAACTTTTACGAATGAAATATAAAATAAACGATCAATAAAGCATAAATATAATCAACATATTATTATGTTCAGCCAGTCTGCTATATGGAAAATTCTTACATTATCTACTAAAGCAAAGCAGTAATTACAACATCAACTTAAGTAAAAGGAGAAAGTAGACATTTTTAATAAGATCCACATAACATCCTAAAGGATAAAAATATAATTCAGATGGAGGTAAGCTCTGCTGGTGGGTTGAATGCTAATCGATTATATTTAAGGAAATAATCAAGTTTAACCAAAATATACTTTAAAAATATAATCTGTACAATGCCATAGATTTTCTTGATGTCCAAGACAACCCATGCTGAATCTAATGTATTTGTGTATCAATAATAATTTGCTAATAATTTAGAATTTGATGCTTGATGTCCTTTAATGAAACCAGATTGAATGAACAAAGGTTGTTGTCCTTGAGCCAAAGCAATTCACAAAGTCTTAGCATTCATATTTAAAATTTAAAGATACATTGTACAAGACATTTAGTTATGGGTGTTATGTTTAGCTTATATGCAGCTGTATCATTCATCTCTATTGTATTTGTTTCTGTTTCATATTGCTACTCTATCATTCATCTCTATTGTTCCTGTCATGCATTTCCTGTTCCTGTAGTTGTATTCTCTCTCTCTAAGAATGATGGCTTTTGTACAGTGAGGCCTTGTATTTACTGACTCCACATGAAACATGGTGTCAGAAGCATCTGAATCTGCGCTGTCTCCACACATTTGATGCATGCCAGTTAGTACTTGCGACCCTTTCCTGGAAGCTGAGCATTTGAAGTCAGGAAACCAGCATCATGACAGCTACTAACAGCATTCCACTGCCTGAGGCAATGAGAGTGAGTGGAGATTGCAGCAGTAACTGGGCCAAGAGTTTGAGGATTATTCCCTAGCCACAGGCTTAGATGACAAACCAGCAGCAGTGCAGGCAGCCACACTGAGATGGCTGATGGGTAGTGAATGCCTCCATGTTTACAAAAATTTTTCAGACCTTCTAAAAATGTCATATATGAGAGATATATATTTGGCAGCTGTAAGCAAGAAGAAGATGAAGCAATAGACAGTTTTGTCACATGGCTAAGAGAAAAAGCTGCAAGCTGTGATTATGGCTCTCTGAGAGACAAACCTATTTGTGAAAAAATAGTTCTGGGTATCACTATTGAAAACACACACCACACACACCACCGCCTTTTGAGGGAACATGATTTAAGCTTACAAGCTGCAATTGAGATATGTCGTACCATAGAACTTGCAGACAAATGGCTGAGAGCCTTGGAGGAGGATAAACAGACTGGCAGTGTCAATGCAGCCTACAAACAACAGCTAAGCATGAAGAACCACCAGCACAAGCGCCAGCACAAAATTCGTCTACACAATTCACCTGGGAGCAACCTAATATCATGCAAGTACTGTGGCAGTGTGCATGTACGAGAGAAAGAGCAGTGCCCTGCATATGGAAAACCTGCAGAGCATGTGGGGACCAAATCATTTTACACGAGTGTGTCTTTCAAGTAAAATGAAAGCGAGGAAGCTGCACACAACTGAGCAAATATCAGATCCTGAGGATGCACACTTGTTTACCACCAATGTGGTTTACACAAAAGAATGCATTGGTGCGGTAAACTCTAAAGGCAAAAAATGGTTTGTAAATCTCAGATTAAACAATATATTCCAACCCTGCCAGCTGGACTCAGGTGCAACATGTGATGTAATGAGTTTAAAGGACAATATGAAACTGGCACCTGAGATACCTCTTCAGCCTATAGCACCAAACTGAAGTTATATTCAAGAGAAGTAATGGAATTATTGGGACTTTTCCAAACAGAATGCAGCATACGTGGGATATCACAAACTTGAATTTGAGATTGTAGAAGCCGATCAGAAACCACTATTGTCTGGATCAACATGTGAGCGTCTGGGTTTGATGCAGTTCACCATTCCGGCTGAGTTACACAATTTTGAGATTCACCCCTCACGTCCTTGGCAGATCATCAGTATAGATTTGTTCAATTATCCAGGAAAAGAGTACCTGATACTAGTTGATCATTATTCAGACTTTTGGGAAATTGAACTTCTTCCTGACTTGTCCACTGAAACTACCATTAAGAGATGCAAGGCTCAGTTTGCACATCATGGCTAACCAGATAAAGTGATCTCTGATAACGGCCCTCAGTTTGCAAACCTGCAATTTAGGATATTTGCCATTATGTGGGAGTTTGAGCATGTGACTTCCTCACCACGTCATCCACAAGCTAATGGCAAAGCTGAATCAGCTGTGAAGATTGTTAAGAATTTATGCAAGAAAGCGCAAAGTGATGGTAAAGATACATGGAAGGCCATTCTACATTGGAGAAATACTCCAACTGAGGGCATGGACAGTAGTCCAGCACAGAGACTGATATCAAGGAGACTAAAAACCTCCTTAAATAAGCTGCTTGAGCCCTCTGTGATACAAGGTGTCCCAGAAAAGTTATGGCTTAAGAGACAAGTATTCAAGGCAGAATATGACAAATCAGCCAAAGATTTGCCAGAATTGAATATTGGGGAATGAGTCCGTATGAAACCGCTGCCTGGAGATTGAACAGGTCATTGGAAAATGGGTATCTGTTTACAACAAGTGGCACCACGCTCCTATCTAGTGGACATTGATGGAACTCTCTATCATCACAATTGTATGGATCTGCGTGTGGCTGAGCAGCCTGACTCTCTATATCCAGTGGTCAAGCTCGACACACCTGGTATTACTGGGCCACACTTATCCACTGGCAATAGGAAATACACTGATGTCACAGACCAATGCTAATAACAGTCCTGAGCGAGCTGGATGTCTGGTTTGGCGTTCGATGAGATGGGTGGAAGAAGCTGGGGCTCCGGCTTCTTAGCCCGATTTCATTCTGCCCGGTGATCCCAAGGGGCCAGAAAGTTGCTCTGGAGGGGCAACGAAGAAGGAGGGATGCTTCAGGAGTCCAGACCAGATGGCGGTCAGTCCAGACGGACTGAAGAAATCCTCTAAAAGGACAGAGGAAAGGCTGCCTGGTAAGCCCAGGCAGCCCAAGTCGTTGCCAGCCAGAAGAAAAGTGAGGAGCCACGGTGAGGAGCCAGCATGCTGAAACTGGGTGAGCCTGCTCTTTTTTCCTTTCCTTTTGGACTTAAAAATATTGATCTCCTGATTGGGAAGAGCTATAAAGTAAACAACCCAGAAGGACTAGGGGAGAAGAGAGTTAAAGGTGGTGAGCAACTACAGAAGGGGGAAGGGTTTTAAGGAATATTAAAAAAACTCTTAAAAACTGAACTTAGACTGACTTAAAGAAAGACTACTTAACCTACAAGATGTGGGAACAATTTTTTTAGGTATAATTCCAAGGGTAAATAACCATAAAGAACTTTAAAAGAAAAACTTTGTAATAATCTTTTAAAACCGGATATTGACAAAACAGTGTACGAGGATATCTAGTGGTGAAAGAAGATACAATAACACTAAATAATAAAAGAATCTGAAAGTGTTTGACCTTGAAGCAACACCTGGTGTAAACAAAATGTCTTTGTGTGAGTTTACAAGTGAAAAGACTTTCTGCAATCATATTTGTTGACACTGGATATAACCAAAACAGGAATTTCTTGGAGACAGGCTTGACTGGAGGATTTGGATTTGGCCTAAAGTAGTTGGCTCATTTGTTTTGGTTGGACTTTAGCCTAAGATAGTTGGCTTTTCCCCCTTTTTTTCTTTTTG